TCTTCAATATCATCTTCGCTGAAAATCAAAATATAAGAGGGAAAAATCAATTTGTGAAATATAGAGCAGAATATTGAATAAAAATTGAAATGGTTGCTAAAGCAATATACATCAAAAAGGAAACAGAGTCAACTGGTAGTATGAAATTTTAATTATGCAGAAAAAAGCAGCACAATTTCCCATCTAGGCCTTTTCATTAGTGAAACAAAATTAATGAATAGAACTGAAGAAAGAAAATCATCAAAGTACCACGCACCCATAAAAAAAAGGTAAACCAGCTACATTTTCCACAAGTATTAACTATTAAAACCACTCAACCAACTTGGCATTTAAGCACTCTTACATAAGATTCCTCCTAAAGTCCTAACAGTAGCTTTCATACAAGGTATCAGACCAAAATTTTGAAATCTCTGTCTTGAGGGCATTACAGTTAACCAGGTTTCCAACAGCATACTCTCCCAAAAGCAGATTACAGGTTAAAAGCTTATAAGTTCCTAAAAACTATCCTAATAAAGGCTTTGTTTAGCACACCATATAACTAGTACCAGGGGCGGTGTGACTAGTATATATATATATATATATATATATATATAAGTGAAATAGTTGTCCTTCATTTTTTTTCTCCTTCCCTATAAAGTACCCCCTCCGTCCCGACACATAATTTAAGAAAACTACAAGTGGGTTTATTTAAAACATTTATTTATTATATAAAGGATTTTCTTTTATATTTTTATATTGTAAGAAAACAAAAAGTGGGGGAGATGGGGGTAGTGAGGAGAGAGAAAATGTAGGATTTAATTGGGTTTTGGGTTTTGTCATCCCAAAAAGAGTATATGAAAATATTTTTTATTAGTGGTCTCATTCCATACCTAATAACGTGTCAAGTATTTTGGGACAGACGAAAATGGAAACTATGTCAGTATTATGGGAAGGAGGGAGTAATACTTTGGCGAATTCTGGCATTCAACACTCAACATAACTTTTGCTAACTAATATTCTCTCTCCTCTTTATTTTCCTACACCAATCTTTTTTTATTTTTATGTTTTACCCTTTGCTCTAAGATCTGATCATCAGATTATATAAAATAAAATTAGGTTGTTTTGCTTAAACTAATTACTTTGTATAAAATTCAATTTGCATCAATGGTCAACAAATGTTTAATCCTTGGCTTTCCAATAATACTGGTGTTGTCTTTTCTCTCTTTCTTTATATATATATATATATATATATATATATATATATATATATATATATATATATATATATATATATATATTGTGTGTGTGTTTGGTTTGTAGATTAGAAGTTAATTAGAAGTTTATAATATTATTAACAATTCCTATTACTGTTGCATCTTTTTCTAAATTAAGTTGTTAAAGTCATACTTACACACTACTATGTCACAAGAGATGCTAACTGGGTTATAGATGAGTTTGTATTTAATGAAAATGTAGGATTGCACTTGTACACCGTGATGTTTTTTGGACTCGATAAGGGCCCATTTAATGAAATCGAACAGCCCCTGCTAAACTTTGCCCCCTCCCCCTGTTAAAAACTACAGAGTATTAAAAGTTTGACAGGGAGGTTGAGAAGGCAGCTGATTCAGATAAATACAACAAACATAAAGGCCCCTCTTTTAGCACACAAAATGAGTAATAAATCCAACTATTTCTTCTCAATTGAAATAATGTGTAATATTCAAACCCTTCAGGGTTAGGGGCTTTGTCCAAGCACCTATGATTGATAATATTAAACATTTAAACACCAAAGGATCACAACCATATCCATGATTAAGAAAATGACATAGACAAAGAAATTAAAGAAACTGATCAAATTCCCATAAGCCGACTGATGATAGTAGTTTTGAATTTCTGGCCATTTAGGAAACAAGAGAGTAAGGTCAATATTATATCACCTTCCAATAACCAATCATTCACTTTGCACTATAGTCCACAATATAGATATAAATACAAACAATCGATGGCTGCCATGGATCATTTCTAATGATATTTGCAGAAATATTAAGATCTAGATGACAAAGTGCATTATATCACCTCATTCGATCTTTGCAAGACAAACAAATTGTCATATCAATGACACTGAAATTCCAAAACTATTATGCAACCAAAGCAACACAATGTACAATTCAGTTATCAACTAGCTATAGCAGAAGGAGAGTATCTCAAGCTTAGCAATTAAAACGAATAGTCAAAGCTTTAATGATGCTAAAAAACTTCACATAAGAGAAGTGAATGAAGACTCACGATTCCTCAAGGTCAATAACCTTAATTGCAACTACTTTATTGAGCTCCTTGTCAAAGCTGCAAATAAAAAATAAAAAAAAATAAAAAATAAAAAAAGCAACAGATGATAGATAATCATTGCAAATGATCAAAAGATATTAGCAGTTTAAAACACCAGGCTTATTAAACTAGATTGCAACTTACACACACTTAAATTAATAGTATAGAATTTACATTCTACTTCTGTTACTATCATAATATCATACATCCAGCAGCACAAACGATGAATCTAAAAGTTGATAAAATGGTACGTATAGTGTAAAGATTCTTCCATTTCTAAACAACTAACACTTCAGCGCAGATAGAAGCATAGCATCAAGAGGCTGGGAAGTAAAATATAGATACGCCTTTTCTTGCCACTAACCAATACAGTATGGAACTATAAAAACATATTGCATCAGAGTTTAAACCTAATCAACCAGATTGCTTCTCACTAATCAACATTAGAAACAAGTATAAAAAGCGAAGATTTATCAGAATGCCACTTAAACTTTCACAAACAAAGTTGCATCCAAAAATGTTACTTAATGGCAAACTAAAGGGTAATGCTACAAGTATCAAGACAATCAACTACTTATTTATAAGCTACAGAACAACTAGGTTCATACCCTTTATAGACGTCGCCGAATGAACCTCTTCCAATCAGCTCCAAATCGCCAAATCTCGACCCTGCAGCTTCAATAAAAGCCGCCACATCCGCCATTTCAACAGAAACTCCTCACCCCACTTGCAATTCAACAAACACCCTACTTTCTTCAATCATACATCCTTACAATCATCACATTCATCAACACAAACATCCATTCCCTAATTCCTAACACCCTAAATCTACAAAAATAATCCCACAATGTACTCTTCTCTCTCGAACACCGAAATCTGCAAATCACACAACCCAAATTCCATCAAAATCAAGCTTATAAACACCCAAAAATCAAAACCCAACAACAATGCGTAAAGACTAGAAATCGTTACACATCAAAATACAAAGAAATGTGACACACCAACAAATCAAAAAATTAAAAAAATCAACTATAACTTACACAATACAACGAAATTGAAAGGGAAACTCCAACAATAATCCGTGTAATTCAATGAAATCCTAGGGTTTTCAACACAAATCTACAGAGGAAAATTTGAAAATTGAAATGAAATTAACAACAATTACCTGATTGAATAACAAAATTGAAGTATAACCGAACCACAAAAAGATGATAAACCGATCGATGAAAAAGTAGTGAAGTGGATTAATGGAGAAGTAGAGAGGAAGAAGATGAAGAAGCCATGAAAATTTGTGTATATTTTCTCTCTCCTCCTAGGAGAACGAACGAAGCTGGCAATAACAAGATGGAATTGAACGAAGCCTCTCTTCTTTTTTGGGTTTGTTTTTACTTGGTGAATTTTTGACTATGTAAATACTATTTGGAAGATGTAGACAGTTTTTTTTTAACCCAAAGGGTATATTTTGATTCATGGGAAATGTACAATTGTACATACGATATGTAGATTTGACGTGAGTTAAAATATACGGCGTATTGCCAATTATTTTTTGTCAACTACGAGGCATGTCATTTACAGAATACTACCTACATTTTTAAATACTTGCTTCATTTATATATGCGTGGAGTTTTAGGAAAAAGTAATAAAATATACTCTGTAGATGTATTGGGGTTATTAGAAGGCAAATTGGAAGAGAGACAATTTAAAAAGTAGTGAATTTGGGGCCCATTGGTTGAGCAAAATGAATTATAAATACTATAAAAGCTTTTCAATAAGGAAATGGAGCAAGTAATTTGAAATGGCCGTAAAAAGAAAAGTGGAACAAGTATTTAAAAACGGAGAGATTAATAATTTAGGGAAAAAAATATCAAATAATACTCGTAATTAAAAAAAAGTACTCGTAAATAACACATATTATTTAAAGACATAAATTAAACGAGATTAAATTAATAATATTGTCTATCCAAATTTTTCTAATGGTAAGAATAAACCCTACTAAATTGACACTTCTTACAGGTCAATTCAATCCAGCTATGGGTCAGATTCATTAGGAGTAAATGGAAAGGATAAGAGGAAAATATCATCCTAAAAAAGCTTCTAATGAGATTTGATTCCATGACTTTTAAGTTATGAGGCCGAACTTTTTCACTGGATCAAGTCTTGGTTGACTATTGTCTATCCAATTTGATAATTTGCTTTTATTACTACATCAAATACATGTTTCATCTCACAAGTTTGCAAATTTTGAAGGAACACGCACTTGCGCGCAGGTTTTAAACAATCACGTGTAGCTCCTAACTCCTAAGAGGGGACTCATGGGTCATGGCCAAATAAAATTAACCAAAAAGTTGACATCTTCAATGTGAATATTGGTTATATCTTGTTATAGTGCTAGTTGGATATGAGGACCATTATACCTTAAGCCATAAAGGATTGAGTGGTACAGTACTAACGAAGAAAGTGCCGACCGAAATGATATTGGCTTTGTAATCTCTAAGGACGGTGCTGGCCATGACAGAGATTTTCTTACCAGAAATTTGAAATTGAATTTTGTGAAATTTAGAGGACAAGGTTCCACGATAATAGTGATTGTGGAATGGGACCAGGTGGTGAGAATCAACCTCCTCCAATCGGGAAAAAAGCTCTAACCACTTGAGAATCAACCTCATCCTCAGAATACCATGTCGTTAAAAGCAGTCTAAATAGATTACAAGTACCATACTCATAAATGTTGTTTGTTTCTGGAAAACTGTACAAAAATAGATAGTTCATCACTAAATTTCCTATTATTAATTCAGTATCATTAAACCCTAATACCCCATAATCAGAAGTGCTCACGGCCTCAAAATTCAGCAATCCTATAAGAATAGAAATAACAATTTCAGCAGTAGATTACTGATTAGCCTTGTCTTCATCCAAGGTTGTTTCATAGCTTGTTATCGAAAGCTTAACTTAAACTGAATTCAGCAAATACCAGACTTCTACAGGTGAGTGGCCTATTTTCACAATACTGTCAAAATTAGGAGCTTCAATTTTTGAAGCAATTATATATACACAGATGAAATGATGAAAAAATCCAAGATTGTCGATTGGTGAGATCCTCATCTTCTTCTTCCTTTCGAAAGTTGCTTGGCAGGAGTGAGCTTGCGAAAAGAAGCATGTAACATCATAACTGAATACAGAAGCAGATAAACAAATCAGAAAAAAAGAGTTTAACCTCTATTGTAAAAGAGACAATCAGTACCAGAGAGCTAATGCATACCTATGTAACCAACTCCTAAAGTGAAGAAGACTGCCATCTGAACATTGGACCAGAATAAAATGACTGCAACTGCTGCAAGGCACAAAAATGCATTTTTAGTATGTAGTTCATTAGAACTTACAACCACCATATGCAGCAGATAAGGAGCAATTCATAATGTTTTTCCAAAGCTCACAGGTCTCACACAATTTCATCGAAAAGAGGTTGAGCTTGCAAACCAAGTGCAACACAATGCAAGAGATTAGGGTATGTATCAATCTACCATGGGACACCTCCCAAGATTCATATTCAGCACGACTTGTAAGTTGTAAGTGTGTAACAGCACCTATTTGTCCTATTCATTTTTCTGACACACTTCCATATGAGAATAGCTTTACCTTATGAGAGAAATTGGTGGTATCAAAATGGTCTATAATCCTAGAAAAAGTAGTTCTAAATACCTTGTTAAACCATGCAAACATAATAGGCAAATCGATAGCAGCTACCATTCTGAAACAGTACAAGTATAACCAGCATAAAAGACTAACTAAACAGTGAAAAAATAGTTATGCACTATGACGAGAAATCTGAAGAGCTTTAGAACGAAAGCACACATGAAAAAGAAACTACCCTATGTGCCACCTCCATCCTAAAATAAATCTCACACTTCCAACAGAGTATAATTCTCTGCTTTGAATTAGCTCAGATCAGTGACCAAAACAAAGAGTATAAGGACAGAAATGAGAGATTAAGGGAAGAAGAAGAAGAGAGATTAAGGAGGAACAATTAAAGATATGACTGAATTAATGCTAACCAGGGTGCTAATCACCAATTAATGCTAACCAAGCTGCTAAAATAAACTTGGCATTCATCTCAAGGAGCATAATGGGGTTTAAAGAGTCCTGTTAGACATCTTAATATGCTAATACGTGGAAAGTGAACTTCAATTATCCGCTAATCATAAGGCTCCCAAAACTCATTAACCAGGATAGCCATCTATCTAATACTGCAAATGCTAGTAATCAAAATTAATAGAAATTTCTACAATATATGACTGATTGACTGCTATTAATCAGAAAGCATTAGCAATGAATCAGCCTAAAGTGGATGCCATGCCATATCTGCAGAACAAGCTACTGCATATCCGTCACTTCGTAAATGGTTCTAAAAGGAAGCCTCCACACACATTTTCAGTTATGTGCGTGAATTTTGTTAGCTTACTTGCATATGCTTGATATTGGATACAAGTTCCTTGTAAAACATAGAGTTTGATAACTAAAGGCTAAAATGTACAGTAATATATACAAGCAAATTTGTCACAGAGACTCACCACATTGAGCAACACGAATTAGAACATGTCGAATAGCGGAAAACCTATCGAGTGCCCATCTGTTGTCACAGAACCTAAATACTTCCCATGTCGCTAAACAAGATACCAAGCCGACCAAAGCAAGTGGCATTTGATACCTAACATCCAACAACAGCAATAATAAGAAAATAACAATCTAAAATTTTGTCATGATTAAAGACTTAAAGTGGCTACACACTAAAGCCAGCATAATTGATGTGCAGAATGTTTACTCAAATTGATCAAACTCGATCAAGAGCTCAATGTGGTGAATTCATAAACCATGGTTCATTAATACATCATACTGAGCACTTGACCAGCACAAGTAGGATGATTATAAACACACCGCAGAAATCCCCAATTTATACATGTCATTAAAATACAGATTTTGGTGTGAAAAGGGAAAACAACAAGAGTTGCCTTCAATTCCCAAGTGAAATTACTTCCAATCTCCCCCAACAATCATTAAGACATACATAAAGGTTCTCAATTGACCGAAATTTGGGCAATATATCGACAGAAAATGAAAATCAATGAAACCCCAATTTGAAGAATTGACAGAAATTACAAATCAACAGAAACTTTACAGCAAATTAGCGGAATTAGAAAACAACCCAATTGCATAAATCAACAGAAATTAACAACAAACACAGATTATTCCCAAAATTAATCAAATTAGAGAGCAACCCAATTACTAAATCAAAACAACCAAAAAAAAAAAGAGAGAAAAGAGAAGAAATTAAACATACAAAGAGCACGCAAAGAAGAGAATAAGAAGCGTAGCATAATTCTTAGCAAAACGCTTAACATTCTCATGAACACGCATCCTAGCTTGAGTAGAAGAAGAAGGAAAAGAGTAAGAATCAACAGAACCCAGAAACCCAGAAGAAGTCAAAGAGGGAGAATTCTGCTGAGAAAAATCAGACGAAGTAAGTTTAGCAAAAGGGTTGAGAGTTAGGAGAGAGAAAATGGTGGCAAACGATGAAATGAGGGACATAATAAGGCCATAAGCTATGGCAGTGATAGTGGTTGTTGGGGTTCTTCTGGGGGCGGTTGATGGGATTGGTGCGGTGGTTGGTGCGGCGGATGGTGCGGTGGTTGCTGCAGTGGGTGCGGAGGAGTTGAGTTTGTGGAGTTGGGTGGTGCGGTGGTCGAGGATTTCGAGGTAGCCGGAGTCGCGGAGCCATGACTCGAAGGCTTGTTCTGGGACGCTTAAAGATAAGGGGTTGGTTGCGAACGCCATTTTTTTTCACCCGGGAAAATGGATGTGTAGTGTGTTGGTGGAGAAAGTGAGAAAGTTATGTATGTGTAGGTTGTGATTTTGTCATTTGTCAATAAAAAAAAAAAAAAGTTGTGATTTTGTCAACAATTTTAATGTGAGTATTTTTTTTATACGGTTATTTCACCCAATACCCTTTTTGAGTAATTCGCTTAATCACAATGTATTTTGAAAATTTTCAAATACACCATGTATCTCCGAGTTTAACAAAAATGCCTTATATATCCAAATGACTAACGGACTTACGACGTCAGCTCCGTTAGTCATTAAGGGTTAATCTATTTAAGTAATTATTAAAAAGAAAAAAATCAAAAATATTTAATAAAAACTACAAAAAAACCAAGCCCAAACCCCAACCACCGCTGCCTCCCCTGAACCCCACCCCGGCATCGAAACGATGCAAATCCCCCCTGAACCCAGCACCGGTGTCACCCCGACCCCTTGAAATCGACCTTCCCTTTCCCTCGACCCAAACCACCATTCTCGCAACACTAGAAACCCCTACCTCCCTCTAAAAAACCTCCCTCCCCACCTACCCGCATACCCCCTTCCCATGTATCGATGAATGCAATTCGCCCCTATCCCCTTGAACCACCACCTCAAAACCTTAAAACCCCAAAATCAAAATTTAAGGACTTGTTTGGCATTGTTTTTTTTTTAAAAACAAAAAACTAAAAACAGAAAACAAGAAAAAGGTGCTTCCACTTTTGTGTTGACAATTTTCAAAATTATCATGATCTTCATAAGTTTGACTGATTTTTGATTCATTATATGACATATATCATATGATTTCAAAAAAACAAAAAAACAAAAACCAAAAAACCACAGTGATGCCAAACGAACCCTAAGGTTTCGATTTTCTGGTTTAGTGACACCGTGGAGCAGTCTCCTGAGTGGGAGAGGCTTGGCACTGACGAGAGGGAGTGTGGCCGGCGTCGAAATAGGCTTGGTGGGGCGGGTGGTGGTGGCTAGGGTTTGGGCTAGGGTTTTTTTTATTTATTTTAAAAACTTTATTATAACAATTAATTATAAAGATTTTTAAAAAAAAAAAAATCAATAAGCAAATGGCACGTGGCACAATAAATCCTTAATTACTAACAAAGTTGACGTTCATTAGTTATTTGGATATATGGGGTATTTTTGTTAAACTCAGGGGTATATAGTGTATATGAAAAGTTTCGTCAGTATATTGTGAATAAACGAATTACTTAGGGGTATTTGGTGAAATAATCGTATTTTATACAATAGTCTAAGGAAACTTTAGTCAAACGAGTAAACACAAAATTACAAGTCAGTGCATTCGAACCCCCAACCTATTGTACTTGAATGGGGTAATAAATATTAAATACCCCCTCCTTGTTTAAATAAATGAAACGTTTGCCTTATGCACGTATGCCAATTCAATATCTTGACGGATAATATCATTAATTATAAAAAAAGTAAAAAGTATAACAATTGAATATAAATAAAAAAAAAAATTATTAAAAATTCCAACAATTATCCACAAGACTACATTTATTCTTATATATAAATCACAAACATTACTCAAAATGAATTAGATGAATAGTGCAAAAAGTCAATACATTTCATTTATTTAAACACGGAAGGAGTACCCAAGCTTTCTTTTGATTTACAAATACAACATTTAAGTAAATTATACTAAATTCTAGGAGGTTACACTGGGATATTGCTACAGAGAGACCAATCGAGCTGCAAATTGATTAGCCAATTTTGGGGTAACGTCCACTGAGAGGATTACTATCTTTGAGGTGGTCCCGGAGGATCTTTGAACAGTTTTATTAAAGGACCCTCGGGGAATGACAGGAGCTAGGATGGTGCCACCACAAGTGCCTTGAAGATGTTGCTTCGAGGAGGCTAGCTTGTAGTTGTTTTCCTTTGCTCTGGTGTTTTTGTGTTTTATTTTTGTTGCTTTTAGTTTCTGTTGCTGTTTTGTTTTTTCTTTTCCCTTGTAGTTTAACTAGCTTGTTATCTCCTTTTTGGGGCTTACCCGGATCACCAAAAAAAAAACCCCTAAAATTCTAGGCATGTGGGGCGGGCCATGGCTTGGGTAGGCCCGCCCCTAGATCCGTCTAATGATTGGAAAATACTCCCTCCGCCCTTTTTATAGTTCTCATTTGTAATTTTTGACACTTTTTATAATGTAAGAGAATTTTCTAAATTACTCTTAATGTATAAGATATAATATAGTCATGTTGGGTCTTATTTGATTCGTCTCGATGAATAGATTATTAATATTCAATTGTTATATTTTTTTTTACTAATAAATAACTAACGATATTTACGGTCAAAGTGTTGCATTGACAAATGTGCACAGTCCAAATGGGAACTATAAATAGGGGCGGAGGGAGTATATATGAATGGGTTTTGTAATGTACATTTATACTTTGTTTGGCAAAACTAGCAGTAGCAAGTAGATTTTGGTCGTCAGAATAGCAGTTATCTACTAGCGCTTAAAGTTGCGGGAGTGCCTAAAGTTAAGGACCACCTATTGACTGGTTGGGATGAAAGGAATGGTTTCCTTCGAACAAGTGTATTATTCCGATAGGGGGTTCGAAATTATTAGAAAGCTAATTTTTCAGTGAGGTCAAGTGATCGGAATGCCTGGGTGGAGGCCGCTTTCGATAAGTACTATTAATGTATAATTAATATTACAGCTTAATCTTGACTGAACTCTTCGGGTCACACCCAAGCAACTAACGAGCCAAAGCGACGAATTAATTAGGAATTAATTAATAAGTCGGCCGAGTAATTAATATTTAGACATCGGAAATTCTAGCTTGGAGTGTCGAAACCAAGCGTCAGAAGTCGAGTCGAAAATAGTAAAAAGACAAGACGTGGAAATAATAATAAATCAACAATGACCAAAATACCCCTAGCATTGGAATACCGAGTGCTAGGGGCGCGGCCAATGCTAGCAGCCCGCACCAAATGCGGGGCTTGGCTAGCATATGACAACTAGCAGTCCGCACTTTTGGTGCGTGGTGTGCTAGGCCGTGGCACTAGCAGCCCACACCTTTGGTGCGTGTTGTGCTAGGCCGAAGCACCCACACAACATCGTGGTAGCCCACAAGGGTGCCTTGGTGCCCAAGTGAGCTGCCACGTGGCACAATTTAATTGGGGGCTATGGGAATGAGGTGGCCGGTTATGGGAGTGAGAGTGGGGAGCAAGCTAAGTTTGGTCCCGGCCCCCTCCTCTAAATGGTCCTCACCTACTCCTCCTTATGAGCTTGCCACTTGTTGATTTAATACTAGTTTGATTATTAATTTTATTTTAGCTCTAAAATAAAATAGGAAAATCAAATTCTCCCACATTAATGGGAGATGTTTTCACACTCTTGCATTTCCCTATAAATACCCAACTTGGGGTATTGGGAAAAGCACTTGATTAAGAGTTGAAAAAGGCATCACCATTGTGACAACCTTTGATCTCATCAATTACTCGGGTTTAGGTCGGGTCTTACTAACTCCAATGTGGACCCTTGTCGGTGGTCGGGTTGTGGGTGGACTTCCGTTGGAGGTCATCATACTTTCGAGAATTGCTTTCGAAGTAAGAGCCCCTTGAGGTCGGGTGAAGCACCATCAAAGGTATAATTACTATCCTAATCTTGTCTTTAAATTAATTATGCTTCATGATTTTATTTATTGCGAGTGCAGTCTTGTTTTGGGTTTGTTTCCACAGTGAGTCGGACTCACCAAACCCCAACATGGGATTGCTGAAAGCAAATTGATGTTAAAGTTGGGATTATTACATAATAATTCAAAGTTGGAATGAAATGAATTTTTCCTTAATATTAAGGTTAAATCTTAGTTCTAGGCAGAGTTTGGATATAAGTTTCTTAGGTTAAGCCAACTATACCAAAGGATTATACTTCCACATCATGATTATCATTGTTATTGTTCCGTCATTCACTAGTAGAAAAAGAGAAATTGACAACGGTTCAAACCCCCACAAACCCACCGGTTTGAACCGCTGAGTTTATGGGGGGTGCCAATTCCTCCACATATGCCATTGATTCAAATCCGGTGAGAAAAAGAGCTAATGGCACCGGTTAACCGGTGGCATATTGTTGTTATTAGCATCGGTTAACCGGTGCCATTACTGTCCAAATTTTTTTTTTCTTTATTTAAATTTTTAAAAAGTCGATTTTCTGTCAAAAATTCAAAATAATGTTCCATATTATCTGTCAAATTAATGTCCAAATTTCTTTTTTAAAATTAATGTCAAAATTTTTATTTAAAATTAAGGAAATTTTAGAAAATAACACCTCAAAAAAACCCAAATTTTGATTATAACACCACAATAAAAAAAAATTCATTATAACACCATATAAAATTCCTAAGATTTGATTTCACCACCACATAACGGATTTGTAGATGAAATCCGTTAGTGGAGCCCATAACAGACACGTGTCAATAACTTATTGGTTTTAAAAAAATTATAATAAAAAAAAGAAAAATTTAAAATTAAAAAGAAAAAACCCTAAACAACCTAACCCAGCCCACTGCACCACCGGCAGCACCTGTACGTCCCCCACCACCAACAGCCTAACACAAGTCGTCGGCACCCCTGCCCCACCTAAACCGGCGAAACCCTCTCCTCCCCCTCCCCGAAAACCACCGCAGCTTTGCCTTGCCTCACAGCTCCAACAACACCAAGTCGAATTCACACTTCCCAGCCACCGGAATAGCTACTAGCGGTCGAGATCGACTACTTTAGGGTCAAATTTGACCACTTCGGCCCTAAACCGGCCGATTTCAACTGGAAGTGGCCGTTTTCGGTGGTAGCTAGGGTAAGGGGAGTTGCGGGCTGGGTTAATCGGTGCGTCTGGTGGACGATAGGCTTTTCAGGGTTGGTTAAGGAGGATTGGGGGTGAACGCCAGTGGTGGGCTTGGTGGCTAGGCTGGGGTTGAGTACAGTGTGGTGCATCGTTGTTCAGGTGGTCGGCTTGGCGGATTTCGTCAGTCGAGAGTGGCCGAATGGAGGAGCCGGCAGTGGGGGTTAGGGTGACGGTGGTGGGGCTAGGGGGAATCAACATCGGTGGTGAAGGTGGTGGCTGGGTTAGGGTTTTTTTTTTAAATTTTTTTTTTTTCATTTTTTTAATCCAATAGATTACTGCCACATGTATAATGTGGGGTCCATTAACGGTTTTTTGGATGGCGTTAGCAATAGGTGGTGAAATCAAAATTTCGAGGTTTTTTGTGGTGTTATTACAAAAGTTTTTTTTGTTGTGGTGTTATAATCAAAATTTTGGTTTTTTTGTGGTGTTATTTTCTAAAATTTCCTAAAATTAATGTCAAAATTTTTATTTAAAATTAATGTCCATTATTTTTAAAAATTAATGTCCAAAATTGTTTTTAAGTATCAAACACCTACACCACCACCAACCACCAACCCACCATCCGCACACCTTAAGTCCTTAACCCACCAACCCCACCCACCACCAGCCCACCATCCGCACTACCTTAACCCACCAATCCCACCCACCTACACCAAATCCGCCTACCAGAACCCAGGCCACATGCACCCACGACCCACCCACATCCCACCTGCACCGAACCCAACTACCACCCACCT